TACGGTAATTTATGAGCTTTTACAATAAATTCTCATATAAAATAGGAAAGATAAATATTAATCGGGAAGATAAAATTATTATTAGCAAATAACCTAAATAAGATACTAGTGAAATCCTAATTAAGAAAATTAAATATTTTTCATGAAGTTTAGATATGAATAGTCTATCTTTTATTAGATAAAAAGAAAATATTGTCTTCTTAAAAAAGATAGAGAACTCCTACTTGTGAACTCAAAAATTAATTTAATTATATTTTATTTTTTACCAACTAATAAAACATTGATTTGAATTTAAGAGATGTTGGATTTGATTTTCTCCTTGCATATATATAATCTATTTGCACACAATATCAAATTGACATACCACATATAAATGCTTCGTATAAAAAGATTACAAGTCATTTTTATCGATATCAAAAACCATGACAGTTTACCAATCTTATCATTATAATATATTTAACTCAATAACATATTTTTTAATATGAATAATTAAATTTTAGATTTAGTGATGGGACAATGAAAATCTTTGTACTTAACTTTATTTTAGAACTTAAGATTAACTTTAAATCATTTACAATTGATGCTATTTGCAAGCTTGCTAAGAAATTTTATCATGAGATTTCAATGAACAGGAAATGTATTATTTGAGATCTCGAATAAAATATTATTAGATTGGTATGATTCATCATAATAATTTTTAGAATATATCTACCATTTCCAAATTATATCGATAATTAATTAAAATAAGTAAGTCACAATACTATTATTTGAGTGACAAGTTGATTTATTTTATTTTAACTTTATTTGTTTTTATTGCCACCATAAAGCGAGCATTTTCAACAATAAAACATATTAATACTGTGTTTTGTCATAAAATAAAAGATGAGTTTTTAGCATATTTTATGATGATTTACATTGAACAAGAGCTTAATGAAGATACTGATTTAAATTCAATCATTGATGAATTTTATTCTACAAAATATAGAAAGGTGCAACTTCAATAATATAATTTATTTTTATTTTTATTTTTTTAATTTTATATACTTTAAATTTGAATTAAAATTTTATTTCGGATCATGTGAAAATTGATATGTATTGATGCAAGTCGCTGGCCTACTTTTTGCTAGTGAAAATTGCTCGTAATCTCACAAGAAAAATTCCTGGCACCGCTGTTGGTTATAAGACTTAATCTGAAACAAAAGGATCATTAAACGGATCAACATGCCTTCAAATGATTAAACAGGGAGGATACCTCAATGATCTCCTTACTGACAAGATTGACGACAAGCAGCATTACTAACTTCTCAGTATTTTCACCATATTCTAATTAATTTGAATTTAGAAAACTTATCCACTCCTCACTGAAAAACAAGAAATTTTGGTGAACAGTAACGTCACATCTGATGTAGTTTTACACAGCAGTGTATTTACACAAAGCTAAAAATTCTGAAACCTAACAGAAAGCGTGCTGAGATTCTGAAAATCCTAGGTTGCAGGAGACAGCTGCCTCAGTTTGTCCTGTAAGATTGCCCCTGCTTCATCTGCTACAGTCTTCTTTAAGCTCAATATTGGAAGCTTATTATCTTTTTGCAAGTAACTGGTACAAAAACCAAATAAAGTTGATTGCCTGCCAATTTTCAAGTAAGATACATTGAAATGATACACCCCAGATTGTTCTTCCTACCCTACAGAAAAAACCTAATTTTTTAACTATCTAATATAGCTGATCGACAAAGTAAATGATACTGATTCAACCCAGATTGTTCTTTCTACCCTAAGCTAACCAATTTACGAGTTCTACTTATTTCATTTTGAACCAAACAAATTCTCTCAAGTTCAGAAAAAAAATAACAAATTGATAAACAAGAAGCAGTGATTAATGACCTCTAGGTCGACACCAAAACCAATCCCCAACCAGCGCCAAAGCTTCCATAGCAAACCCTTCTCCTCCTCATCACTCCTATTGCAGCCGTTTATAGTGGTTCATCTCTCTCTCTCTCTCTCTCTCTCTGCTTTGATGTTTTCCGTTTAGCAGCCAACAATTCTTTTATTCTTCGCGCGAACAACCCTGTGCCCAGCTCTCTCTCACACCTTCTCCAAAGCCAACTAAGGAAGCCAAATGCTCTGTATTTTTTTTCCCCTTCACTTTCACTGGCTATTATAGCAAAGGATTGAGTTTGGTTAGCATGGGTATGGATGTTTTGGAATCCTGAGAAAAAGCCACCCTTGGTGTTATCAAATTCACTCCAATGCCATTGTATATTCACTCCCATTTTATTATCATTACTTCTGTTTGATCTCTTGCATGACAAAGATGGCATGTAAATCAGACTTTTAAATTGAGATTTTAATTTTAAAAACTAATTTAATTTCATTTATGTCAAGCTTAAATATCAACTCTAAAGTTGGCTATTTTTTTATTTAGATCATTAGTTTTAAATTTATGTATTTTAACCTTTAATTGACTAATATATTTTTTATTTTTTTAATTTGATATTTAATTCAGTAAATTTCAGTTTTTATATTCATATGCCTCTTTTAATTTGATCATTAGTTTTGATTTTTTTAATTAAATCTCTAATGATAATTAAATTTTAATGTTTATATAATTAAATCTAAACTTTAATTTTTTCTGATTAAAACTGAAATTAATTTAAAAAATAATTTTTCTTATAACACCATATATATCCCAGTTGCATGGGACTCCTTCCCGTCCAAAAAAAATCCAATATGCTTGGGATTCTATCTTGTTGCAAATTAATTATAATTTAATACTCTTAATTTACAAAAAAAATATTTATAACATAAAAATAATTAAATAATTCTTAGATTATCCTTGATTATAGTTGATTTAATGGTATGTTTTGTACAAAAGATCCCTCGTCAAACTCTGCATCCTATCTTCTTGTTTTTAATTTTTTTATATAATTTTTAAAATAAAAAATCAAAATGAAATGAAGAAAATGTGAAATTGATAACAATTAACAACATTTTTTAAGAAAATGCTGTTGAAAGTCATGTTTACTGTAAGGAACAGCAGAGCAGGAAGAAAAAAATTAATAAAAGAATAATAAAAAGAGAGAAAAAAGATAGAAGAAGGGGAAGGAAACGATAATTTTACGTGGAAAACCCTCTCAAGATGAGGGGAAAAACCACGGGGCAATCACGGAAACACTATTATTAATTTACATGCTAAGGTAACAATTTTGTTTTTTTTTAATGTACAGATAATAGTCAAACTATTATAAGAAACAATAAGTAAAGAAATAAAAAGAAGCAAAGTCAGAAACAATATAATTAATTAATTAATTAAAGGATATATACACATTTCCTTCTCCTCCTCCGGATTTGAGCGCTGTGATTATTTCTTTTCCCCCTGTTGTCGGGCGCCTGCAATAGGAAATTGATGGATGATATATGCTCTTAATTCATCGATCGAAGCTATTATTCTCTTATTAAAATTAATTATACAGTAAAACCACACGTTCGTTCTTGTTAGATTAGATGAAGATATTGTCTTCTTAATGGATATATATACTAATATAGGCAATTAATCCAATAGGAACACCCAAAACAAACAAACAAATAAATAAATAAAAGAGGAAGTTAGTTCCTAATTATATATGCAGAAGTTACCTGCAGCCATTTATCTATTGTCGTCGTAAACCTTGCAAATACCAAGGAAGCTCCTGCCAATTAAGAGGAGAAATTAAGTTGAAGATCAGTTTCCTAAAATTATACATAAAAGTGCTACCCTTTTCTACTATTAAATAAATATATAGATACAAAAGAATGTGACGTTAGATTTAATTATAAAAGAACACTTTACCTCATCTAATCCTTCTGATGTTTGGGGTATGAGAGGCGTTGGGCCAGCCCTCTCCTCCCGCTTTGAATTGCGCTCCTATAATTGGGCTGTTATAGATTACCAGTTGCTCTAGAGTTGTTGACTGGAGCATGTAATCCGGAAGTGCTTTCAGTTTTGGGCACTCCATAATTCTCAAGGAACGAAGAGATGGCATTATGATTGAATGGAAGATGTTTGTTTTATCTTCATTTCCTCCTTCTCCTCCTTCCCACTCTTCCCACTGTCCCATTCTCCAAAAGGAAAGACTTTTCAACTTGGGGAATGCATTAATAGTATTTGACGATGATGATGATGTCTTTTCTCCAATACTAATGTCACTATCCTCACCATCCTCCCCATCAACTCCCAATCCCAAGAATTCACGCCCCACCCTCCGCACGCGTTCCATGTCACCTACGGTTAATTCTTCAAGAGATGGCAACTTCCCCAGAGGAGG